AATAATTTACATAGAAGTGTTAATATGGGCCGGGTGCGGTGGCTCAAGCCTGTAATCCCAGCACTTTGGGAGGCCGAGACGGGCGGATCACGAGGTCAGGAGATCGAGACCATCTGGCTAACACGGTGAAACACCGTCTCTACTAAAAAATACAAAAAACTAGCCGGGCGAGGTGGCAGGTGCCTGTAGTCCCAGCTACTCGGGAGGCTGAGACAGGAGAATGGCGTGAACCCAGGAGGCGGAGCTTGCAGTGAGCTGAGATCCGGCCACTGCATCCCAGCCTGGGTGACAGAACGAGACTCCGTCTAAAAAAAAAAAAAAGAAGTGTTAATATGAAATATCTCCTCTTAGTTTTATAAATGTGTTTATCTTCTTAGGTGCACTGTAGTTGTATTAAATAGTATTAGAATTATTTATTTTAAGTATTTGAAGAAAGAAAGAAGTAGCTTTTAGAAAAGAAACATAGCCTACTTATCTGTATTAGTGTTGCTTCTTTGACTAGTCACTTGAGTTCATCTACATGTCTTAGTGATGCTACATCCACTGTCCTATATTATTTTTGTTCTTTTATTGAAGGATATTACACAGAATATTACACATATCATAGGTATACAGCTTGATGAATTTTCACAAACTAAACATACCTGTGTAGCTTGCAGTCAGATCAAGAAACTGAATACTGCCAGCATCTCAGAAGCCATCCATGTGACCCCTTCAAGTCATTATTCTCTTTGGGGTAATGATCATCCCATTGTCAATACATTTTTTAAACATGTTTTAAAATTGAGTTCATAACTAGATTTAAGCCATACAAAAATTTCAGTCTCATTAAACTATTTTGTTGGCTAATTAATTTGCTTGCTTATCTCATTTATTTTATTTACTACAAATGTCCTTTGACTGTGAAATGAAAATTAAACTTAAAAAGATGAGTTTTCATTATGGAACAATATGTTTAAATTAACACATCTAGGAAATATATTTCTAAACTTTGGATTTCTTTTCCCTTACAGACCACCAAATCCCATTGAATTTCTAGCATCTTATCTTTTAAAAAACAAGGCACAGTTTGAAGATCGAAACTGACTTAATGGGAAGAACAGAAAAATTTAGTTGCTACTGTAGATTTACATGATTAAGAGGCAGCTTTAATTGCCATGATTATCCCCCCTTTTTGGATGTATAAGAACCTTCCGGACAACAGAACCTATTTCTGGAATTGCAGAAGAGAACATATTTCCCTTATTTTGATTTAATCACCATAAACCATACCTATTTAATGAGTGTATTCTGTGCAATTTTTTCTCAGATTGTCTTTAACTTTGTTTTTAAAATGACCTTCAAAATAAACTGTCAAAACACCATTATTTTAAAGTAGTTTTTGTTCTATATGACACATATTTTACATGATTGTTTTATGAATTTCTCTTTTTCTTCTGTCTTCAAATGCTGCAGAGTTTTACAACAGAGAGAAAATACAGCAGTCAAGTATAATGTAAAAAATTCAGCCAATTTTTCTCAGCATTGTTTCTGGACCTTTCTGAGGGTGGGATCTGGGCGTCTTCAATGGCTTAACAAGTATCACAGGTGATTCTAATGTACAATAAAGTTGGAGTACTAATAAAAGCATTGCAAAGGGGATACAATATCCTCCAATGTTATCAATATTTATAGTAATAGCTATAATTTATTGCATTCCTACTAAGTTTCAGGCATAGTACATTTTTACTTAAATGATCTCTGATATGGCAGCTCTGCAAAGTAGATATTATTATTCCCATTTTGCAGATGAGGAAACAGACTTGGAGAGGTTAAGTGACATGCTCAAGACAACACTGCTGGTAAGTTTTTGAATGGGAATTCAAATCCGGTTCTACCAATGTGTTGCTGAATTTCATTGCTTCTCTTTGCAATAAAAAGCAGCAGCCAGTTCTTTTTGGGGTCTATTCTCATTGTCCCCTGTGAAGAAATGGAGATGGCTCACTAGCTCAGAAAATAGAGAAACTGCCATAAAAGAGCCAGGAAAAAACATCCACTAGAGCAGTGGTTCTCAAAGAGGAGTGATGATCTCTCCCCACCCCCGTTTCCCCAGAGAACACTTGTTGATGTCTGGACACATTTTGGTTGTCACGACTAGAATCAGGTGGGGTTCTTGAACTCCTGACCTTGTGATCCACCTGCCTTGGCCTCCCAAAATGCTGGGATTACAGGCGTGAGCCACCATGCCCAGCTAGGTGGGGTTCTACTGGCATCTACTGCGTATAGATGCTGTTAAAACATCTTAACAATGAATAGGACAACCTGCATGCCCATCTTCTCCCTCCCCAAGAATTATCTAGCTTAAAATGTCAGTGCCAAAATTGAAAGAAGCCTATTAAAGTCGTATGTCTCCAAGCTAAACCTGTTAAGGCCTTTGCAGAGTTAGAAATTTAATGCTGATTGGCTGGGCGCGGTGGCTCACGCCTGTAATCCCAGCACTTTGGGAGGCCGAGGCGGGTGGATCACAAGGTCAGGAGTTCGAGACCACCCTGGCCAATATGGTGAAACCCTGTCTCTACTAAAATTACAAAAATTAGCTGGGCGTGGTGGCACGCTCCTGTAGTTCCAGCTACTCGGGAGGCTGATCGGGAGACTGAGGCAGAAGACTTGCTTGAACCTGGGAGGCGGAGGTTGCAGTAAGCCAAGATCGTGCCACTGCACTCCAATCTGGGCGACAGAGTGAGAATCTGTCTCAAAATAAAAAAATAAATAAAATAAATAAATAATGCCGACTAGGTATGCCTTATAGTTTTCTTTAACACAGGAAATACTTACTTTAGTAGAACTGACATTTGTGGGAGGTGCTATGTTTTTGGTTTACATCTGCAGATCTATATATCTGAATAGGAAAAACCTGGACATACTGGGATCTTCTTATATAGTAGTTTTTGTAAGTATTCTATCAAATTTATTTTGGTTATTTGGCTAACTCATAAGTTAATCCACCCAAGTCTTTTTAGTGATTTTTTAACATCTGAGTAGTAATTGGGTAATTTTTTTTTTTTTTTTGAGACAAGGTCTTGCTCTGTCGCCCAGGCTTGAGTGCAATGTGATCTTGGCTCACTGCAACCTCCAGCTCGCAGGCTTGATTCTCCTGTATCAGTCTCCTGAGTAGCTGAGATTACAGGTGCATGCCACTGTCCCCAGCAAATTTTGGTATTTTTAGTAAAGATGGGGTTTCACTATGGTGGCCAGGCTGGTCTTGAACTCCTGACCTCAGGTGATCTGCCCACCTTAGCCTCCCAAAGTTCTGGGATTATGGGTGTGAGCCACCACACCCATAATTGGGTAATCTTATTAAGAGATCAATAATCTTTAGCAGTGGTTGTTTACCAACGATTCTCATCAGAGCTACTTGGGGGAACTTTCCAAATATAAGTATAAACAATATAAACATAAAAATCAATATAAAAATACAAATTTTGTACATAATATAAGTATTATGTATGTGTTAAGGGGCTTCTAAAGCTGTCACCTGGTGAACATGACCCAATGGGACAGAGCCTTTTTTGTTTTTGTTTTTTGAGATGGAGTCTTGCTCTGTTGCCCAGGTTAGAGTGCAGTGGTACAATCTCGGCTCACTGCAACCTCTGCCTCCTGGGTTCAAGCGATTCTCCAGTCTCAGTCCCCCCGGTAGCTGGGATTACAGGTACGTGCCACCGTGCCCGGCTACTTTTTGTATTTTTAGTAGAGACAGGGTTTTACCATGTTGGCCAGGCTGGTCTTGAACTCTTGACCTCAGGTGATCCGCCCACCTCAGCCTCCCAAAGTGCTGGGATTATAGGTGTGAGCCACTGTGTCCGGCCTGACAAAAATCTTTAAGGCATTCTGATACCTCTGGTTAAGGACCGATTAGAAGATATTCTAGTTTTGGAAGTGTAAATATGCAATACTTGGCATATTTACAGTGGTAAGGGCTGAGAATAGAAATGTCTTTTTATTAATTTTTTTAGATGGAGTCTCGCTCTGTTGCCCAGGCTGGAGTGCAGTAGCTCATTGCAACCTCCGTCTCCCAGGTTCAAACAATTCTGCTGCCTCAGCCTCCCCAGTAGTTAGGACTTCAGGCGCATGCCACTACACTTGGCTAATTTTTTGTATTTTCCTACAGACGGGGTTTCACCGTGTTGCCCAGGACGGTCGCAAACTCCTGAGCTCAGGCAAACTGTCTGCCTCGGCCTCCCAACGTGCTGGGATTACAGGCGTGAGCCACCATGCCTGGCCAATTTTTTTTTGTTTTAAGAAGTGAGGTCTCACTGTGTTGCCCAGATGGTCTCAAACTCCTGACCTCATGTGATCCTGCTGCCTTGGCCTCCCAAAATGGTGGGATTACAGGTGCAAGCCACTGTGCCTGGCAAGGAATGTCTTTTCCTGGCAGTCTACATAATACTTACTTGAGTACTTATGTGCCAGGCAGCATGCTAAATATTTACATGAGTTGTCATTTAATCCTTGAACCTGTGAGGTGGATTTAAGTTTAAAAAATTTATCCCTATTTTTTGTTTATTTTAAAAATCACTTTATCAAGGTATAATTGAACAAAAAGCTGTATATATTTAATATATACAACTTGATTACTTTGCAGATAACTATAGATCACTGAAACCATAACTACCATCAAGGTCATAAACATATTCCTCACCCCTCAAAGTTTGGGGTAGGTTTAATTTTAATTTTAATACGTTATTTATTTAGAGATGAGGTCTTGCTCTGTCACCCAGGTTGGAGTGCAATGGCATGGCCATAGCTTACTGCAACCTTGAAGTCCTAGGCTCAAGTGAGCTTCTTGCCTTAGCCTTCTGAGTAGCTGGGACTATAGGTATACTGCTGAACCTGGCTGATTTTTTTTTTTATTTTAAGCTTTTGCAGAGACGAGTTCTCATTGTGTTGACCAGGCTAGTCTTGAACTCGAACTCCTGACCTCAAGCTATCTACCTGCCAGAACTTCCCACAGTGCTGGGATTATAGGTGTGAAAGGCACTGCACCCAGCCTATTTATTTGTTTTTGAGACGGGGTCTTGCTCTGTCACCCAGGCTGGAGCCCGGTGGTGAGAGCATAGCTTACTTCTGGGCTCAAGTCATCTTCTCGCGTCAGCCTCCTGAGCAGGTGGGACTACAGGTACACACCACCACGCCTGGCTAGTTTAACACTTCATTTATAGATGAAGAAACATTTGAATAATTTCCTTAAGGTTACAGAGGAATTAAGTTTTTGGCAGGGATTCAAACCCATCTCTCTCTCTCTCTCTCTCTCTGTGTGTGTGTGTGTGTGTGTGTGTGTGTGTGTGTTTTTGAGACAGAGTTTCGCTCTTTTTGCCCAGGCTGGAGTGCAATGGCACAATCTCGGCTCACTGCAACCTCTGCCTCTTGGGTTCAAGCAATTCTCCTGCCTCAGCCTCCCTAAAAGCTAGGATTACAGGCGCACACCATCACACCCAGCTAACTTTGTATTTTTAGTAGAGACGGGGTTTCACCATGTTGGCCAGGCTGGTCTTGAACTCCTAACCTCCAGTAATCCACCTGCCTTGGCCTCTCAAAGTGTTGGGATTACAGGCGTGAGCTACCACACCCAGCTGAGAGTTTCTTAAAGAGTGTAGCACAGTAGCTTCAAGAGTTCAGTTTATTCATGGGCATTATTCAGTGTTATTTTACTGAGGGAATGGAGAGCTCCACTTACTCTCATAAATTGGTTAAATGGAAGTCAGTTTAGAAAGTTACTACTATATGGCCTGGTGCTGTGGCTCACGCCTGTAATCGCAGCACTTCGGGAAACTGAGGTGGGTGGATCACCTGATGTCAGGAGTTTGAGACCAGCCTGGCCAACATGGTGAAACCCTGCCTCTACCCAAAATACAAAAATTAGCTGGGCGTGGTGGTTGACACCTGTAATCCTAGCTACTCGGGAGGCTGAGGCAGGAGAATTGCTTGAACCCAGGAGGCTGAGGCTGCAGTGAACCGAGATCGCACCACTGCACTCCAGCCTGGGTGACAGAGCGATACTCCGTCTCAAAAAAACAACAACAAAAAAGAAAGTTACTATTATACTTTGGTGTCGTATATTATATGTAACTGGGAAGCATATAAACAGTTCCTAACCTTTGACCATTTAATGCAGACGTTGTTTAGTAAATAAATACAAAAATTGAGTAAAACCTACTGTATCCCTTAAGAGTGAGTTCATGAATTACGTTGGTGGGTGGGTTAGTTGGGAGGATCAGTAGAGTGAATCAGGAATAGATTCCTGGAGGAAATAGAAACCCTGAATTGAAAAAAAAAAAAAAGGGAGAAGAGTGGGTTGGATAGAAGGAGATCATCTACCTAGTTCTGATGCACCTAAAGGAAGAATATTGAACTTTTATTTGAACGTCATTTAGGAGAAGGTACAGTGGGATTTTAAGATGGATAACTTCCTGTTAGAAGTGACAGAATTGTTTTAGGAGGAGCATACAAAACTGTAGCCAGGTATTTTCCTGGACTGGATTCCAAAATGGCATTAACAATTGGAGGCCTGATGACATATCAGACTGGAAAAATGAGGCACAAAAGATGAACCTGTGAGTGGTTATAACCGAAAATCCACTTATTAAAATACAATCTCTAGGTATAAATTAGCAAAGAAGAAAAGTAATAAAATAGTGGAAAATAGGTCACCAGTGATAAAAGGGGTAGTTGGTAATGAATAATTGTTTTTTAAAAAACCTTGCCAGCCTTTGGCTGGGCATGGTGGCTCACACTTGTAATCCCAGCACTTTGCGAGGCCAAGGCAGGCGGATCACCAGAGGTCAGGAGTTCGAGACCAGCCTGGCCAATATGGTAAAACCCCATCTCTACTAAAAATA